TCTACCCATTTGGTGAAGTAATCGGTTGCCACGACCATTATGCCTCTGCCCTTAGTACTACTAGATCGATTGTCCATTGTATGAATGGCCAAGAACTCATCTGCGGGTGTAGTTTGCTGGCAGACAGTGCTGGTACCGGCTTGTAATGTTGACAGCGGTGGCACTTTTATACTAACTCCTTAGCATCTTGGTGCATGGTAGACCAGTAGTACTCTGCACCTTCTGTGTTAAGGATTGACCTCCAAAGTGATTTCCATAAACGTCTTCATAGATTAAGCTTAGAACCTTTAAGTTGTCGGGAGGCGTTAGGCAGAGAAGATGTGGTCTGGTGTTGGATCTTCGGATGAGAATGTCGTTCCACATGTAGTAACGTGCTGCTTTTAATTGGAGCTTTCTAGACTCCAACCTTTCCGTGGGGAGTGTGTCATTGACCAGGTAGTCTATAATGTGCTGCCTTTATTCTGCTGCCGGTTTCGTCTCTATGCTTGGTTTGTCTAGATATTCCATGGAAATAGAGCATTTGAGTTGGTGGTCGAGGGCGGAGCCTAGGCCGGCTAGAGAGTATACATGGGCGTTGTCTGCCCGCAGAACTTGAGTGAAAATGTTAGTATGAAATGCCTCAAGTTGCTTGCGTACCTTCTCTAGGTATTACACCATCCTCATATGTTTTGTTGTGTACTCCCCAGTAGTCTGGCTGGTGATTAGCTGGGAATCAGAATGAATTGCTAGCTTTTTCTCCGCCAAGTCTTTTGCCATTTGGAGGCCTGCTAGTAGGGCCTTGTACTCTGCTTTGTTGTTGGATGCTTTGAATCCTAAAGTGATCGCCTGCTCGAGCATTGAACCTTCTGGGGTGACAAAGACCACGCTTGCTCCTGAGCCTTTGTAATTGGATGCACCGTCGACATGCAAATGCCAGAAGTCTCTATTGGCAAGAGCAGGCGCGACTAAGGTGTGCTTGGCTGCTTTTGGGGCGTTGTTAGGCCGTTTTGTTACGTCGCCTAGGCTAGGCATGAATTGTGTTGTGAAGTCAGCCAAGGCTTGGGCCTTTATTACCTTGCGCGGTCGAAAAACTAAACCATATTGGCCAAGTTCCAACGCCCATTTCATTAATCGTTGAGAAGCATTCGGATCATGTAGGATTGATTGTAGTGGATATTGAGTCATAACGATGACTATATGAGCTTGAAAGTATGTCTGAGCTTCCGAGCCGTAACAACTAGTGCCAAAATTAATTTTTCGATCTTCGGGTATCTAGTTTCAGCATCCAGAAGAGTTTTAGAAGTGTAGAATACCGACTGTTGGGCCCCCAGCTTTTCTCTTATGAAGGCAGAACTCACTGCTACTTCTGAGACTGCCAAATAGATGTATAAGTCATCCACTGCTTCCGGCTTGGATAGTAAGAGAGGTGATGTGAGATATTTGTTCAGGTCTTTGATAGACGCATATTTATGCGACTTAGTTAACTAGTTTTCTTGCATTTACGTTATTAGTTCTTAGTTATTTTAGTACTTTAAGCCATTTTCGTGTGTTTGTAGGTCCAAAGGGCTAAGGTAGCAAGAAAGTACATTTTGGTGCATTTTGGAGCAGTTTTGAGCTTGTAATGGATTACATATGATATGAGCAAGATGGATGGACGAATTTGAAGACAAAAGAGGCTAGGAACATGCTAAAATCTGGTGAAACAAATACAAGTTGCAAGAAGGGATAAATTTCTAGAAGGATTGGCCAAAACTTCACTCAAAACCATGCATACCCCATAAAATTCATCAATGTCGTGGCCTTCCCTTTGTTTTACTTCCACCAGATTTTTTAGTGATGATGCAATGCCTATCTCACTATGACATTTGAGTGGATGATGTAATGCTTAACTCACCATGACATTTGAGTGGATGATGCAATGCTTAACTCACCATGACATGTGAGTGGATGACTCAAAACCTACCCTCACCAACAATTCTCCACCTTGCCATGCCTTACCTACTTCATTCCACCAGATTTTGGCATTAAACATGTCCATCCTCTTCCTATAAATACCATGGCAGCAACCTCATTCAAATCATCCAGAAATTAACCATTCTCCAAGCCTTTCCTTGCCTCTCCTACATATCTAAACCCCTTCCCATCCATTCCTCCAAATAACCAACCCTTCAACATCATTCCAACCTTGTTGTGGCGGCAAGGACAAGGAGAAAAGTCCTTGGACGCGCTTGCTATCCAACATGGATCGTTGGAACGTTTAGGTGCTTTCTTCCCTTTGTTTTTCAATGGTTAAATTTGTTTATCTTTGTTTTGTAATAATGAGGAACTAAACCCCCCTTGGCTAGGGGGGGATTCAAAAACCATGTTTATGCTTGCTATATGATTTGATTACTTCCAATTGCGTTTCTTGAATTGTGAATTCAATTTACTTATCCGTTCGTATAAAAACTAATTTGTGTGTATGTTGGTTGAGAGTGCACGCTTAATTTTCATGCATGAATTTGACGCTAGAATATAAGGGAGTTTCACCTAATCGTTATGAACTTATATTCACAAATAGTGAAGGTTGCTAGTCACAATCACGTTAAGTAAATTCTTGGCATAAGTTTCATGCAAATCATAGTAACGAGTGCCTCGTCAATGCTTATGTTTTTCATAGAACTTAATGATTCTTGCTTGTATCTCTATTATGCAATTCATGTAGGGAACTTGTAGGGAATGTTTTGGGTTGTCGTATGCAATCATCCAATCTAATAACTTGTTGAAAAACTGAGAGTTAATTAGTACAATTCACGGTTAATTTGGGGCGTTGAGTATTCATAACTTATCGAAGAGCAATTGGAAATCATTTTGTATGCAAGCAAGACATGTGTGGAGAAGAACCCCTTAGCTAGCCTTCCATTATCCATTCAACCCAAATTTGTTTAAAATCTATTTAAGTTTTTAGTTTATTCGTTTTTACTTTCAACTTCACCAAACTCAAATCCCCCTTTTACTTTCTTGTTTTAAAATCTTTTGTTTACATTTTTAACTTTGTTTCTTTTTGTTTTTGAGTCAGTTTAGAGGTTTTAGCAAGCCCTCCTAATCCCCGGTTTAGAACGATCCCTACTTACATACTTTGCTACAATTGTCAAAAAGAGGGTTTAATTTGTGTGTCAAGTAATTTTCGCATCAGTCTTGGAAAGCTCTTTTGCACTTACCATTCCATTTGTCTCGTTATGCCCTCTTGATAGCCTTGAAAAGGGCTTGCATCAATCGGTAGACCACGAAATGAAGCGGTTAAGGGCAGCTGTTCGTCCGATCAAGCTTTGGATCTCCTTCAAGGTAATTGGAGATTTCATCTCTAGGATCTCTCAGATTTGCTTGGGATGTGCTTCGATTCCTCGTTGGGTTACTAGGTACCTTAAGAATCTACCTGAAGATACTTCGAATGTGCATTTGGTGGGGTTGAGCTTCATCTTGTACTTTTTGAGGATGTTGAAAGTTTCCGCCAGGTTGCCAATGTGGTCTGACTGCTGCTTGGCTTTTACCATGATGTCGTAGACATAGACCTCCATGGTTACCCCAGTTTGTTTCTTGAACATCATGTTTACTAATTTTGGTAAGTGGCTCCCGAGTTCTTGAGGCCAAAGGACATGACTTTGTAGCAGCAGGTGCCTCGCTCGATCACAAAAACGATTTTCTTTTTGTTAGGCTTGTACATGGTTATTTAGTTGTAGCCAAAGTATGTGTCCAAGAAATTGAGTAACTGGCTCCCAGAAGTTGAATCTACTAGTAGATCAATTCAGGGAAGTGGATAAGGATGATTCGGGCATGTTTTGTTGAGGTCGGTATAGTCTACACAAACCCTTCATTTTCCCTTCTCTTTCTTCACAACTAGCACGATGTTGGCAAGCCATGATAAGTGTGCTACATCTTCTATGAAACTAGCCTCTAGTAGCTTGTCAATTTTCGTTTCGATGATCGCTACTTGCTTGGGTGCGAAATGTTTTCTCTTTTTGGATCACCGGTTTAGCAGCGAGGTCAACATGCAGTTTATTGCAAGCTATCTTGAGGTTGATGACGGGCATGTCGAAAGGTGACCATGCAAAGACGTCATAATTTTCCCTAAGGAAAGTTGTGAGCTCTTCCTTCTAGGCTGGGCTTAGACGTGAGCTGATTCTAGCCGTCTTTTGCGGCTACTGGGGATAAAAATGATGTCCTCAGCGTCCTCTTCTGGTTTCCATCCTATCTCGTCTTCTTGGGCACCATTTTCTTGATCCGCTTACTGTAATTGCTATTTGGTAACTTCTTCGTTCCTTTGGACCTCAATAGCCTCTACGGGGGTAAATGTTTTCTTCTTTGATTCTTTCAATACTTGCACAATGCATTGTCAAAATGTGGCTTGGTCAGACTTGATTTCTCCGACTCCTCCTCCAGGATGTGGAATCAGATTTTTTGGTACTTAACGGAAGTGAAAGCATCTAGCTTGATCAACCAAAGTCTCCCAAGAATCCTATTGTAGAGAGATGGGTCGCTTACGATCATGAAAGTCTGCTTTGAGACAACTGGCGGTGTTTTCACGTCAAGTATGATGTGACCGATGGCAGTCGAGGTGTGCCTGTTGAATCCAGTGAGTACCTCTGTGCGGTGTACGGTGTACGTTGAAGTAGGTTGACTGCACTTCCATTGTCAACCATCATTCTGCCTACTATAGCATAGGCTAGTTGGATAGATACTACTAATGCGTCGCCATGTGGGAAATCGACACCTTCTACATCCTGCTCGATGAAGCCAATGATGGGTCCAAGTTGGGTGTCGACTGCTTGGACCTGTGAGACTAGTAGAGCCTGTTGGATCTTTCTCTTTTTGGAGTTATTGGTGGCCCCCAAGTGCTCGGATTCAGCGAAGATGCCATTGATCTGAATCGTCTTGGTTAGTGGCTATTCATCATCGTCTGTGTTCCTTCTAGGCTACACAGCTGGCTTGTCCAAGTATCTGTCGACCTTGCCTTTTTTCACGAGCTTCTCTAGGTAGTTCTTCTAAGTGTAACAGTCGTCTGTTGTGTGACCGGGTCCTCGGTGGAATGGGCAATACTTGGTGTGATCCATCTTGGAAGTATCTATCTTTAATTGTTTCAGCAGCTTGAACCATGGTTGATTCTTGATGTCGCGAATGATTTGGCTGATCGGGATTGAGAACTTAGAGTAGTTCCTGATTGTCGTGCTTTCTTTGGTCGTGGGTCGGTCCCTACGCTTGGCCTCCTGCCTGCTTTTGCTGAACTGTTTCTCGTCCTTCTTTTTTTGAGCCACTGCTGACTTTTTCTGAGGTTGCTTGGGTGTCTTGTTTACTCGTCGAGCCTCGTCCCAAAGTGCATGCTTTTTTACCAGAGTAAAATAATCTGCCAGAGTTAGATATTCTTTCATGATCAATTCTTTGAATAGTGGGTGGTCCGCTGGGAGTTCTTTTTGGAAGACTGCACTTGGTATCGAGTCGTCGCATTCGACTATCTTCGCCTTTTCTGCTTTGAACCTCTTCACGTAATCGCGGAGCGACTCTTTTGGGTTCTTCTTCACATTCAATAAATGGTCGAACTTTTTCTTGATTGAGCAGTAAGATGAATATTCTTTGGTGAAAACCAAGGAAAGATCACAAAACTCCTGATGGATCATGGCGGCAAGTGTGGAACCAATCTTGCACCTCGCCTTGCAAAGTGATGGCGAATATCTTGCACATAAAAGCATCGTTGTTCCAGTAAAGGACCATTGTGCTTTGGTAATGCTTTAAGTGCCTATCTGGATCTCCATCTCTTTTGAAAGATGTGAAATGTGGCATGCTCATGTTGGTATTGTCTCGTCGTAAAGCTTCATCGGCCACTTCGTTGCCTTGGAAATTACGCAATCACTCGTTTAAAAGCTTCTCTACCTCTTCCTGAATTTGCCTTTGTTAGGGGTAGCGAAGCTTTCGGTTGCCCCCAGTCTTGACCTGCTGGTCTAGGCTGCTCTTCTACGTACTCGACTTATTTATGCCGCAATAGCAGTGCATGTGGTCCATTCCTTGAAGGCTGCCAATTGAACTTGAGCTGGATTGAGTGACTGTTTCTCTCCGTCCGTCGTGCTGCATGCTCCGATATGATGTGAATGATGCTTCTTGCAGGCCTAACCGCGAATGAACGATTTGCTTGGAAGACTACTCATGTTGATTATTGGAGTGTGACCTTAACTGTGAGTGTATGCTCGTCCGCGAGCCTAGTAAAGAGTGCACACTCATTCGCGCGCTAAGGCAGAAGTATACGCTATCTCAAGGTCTCAATCGGGAGTGTACACTGCCTGAACGCTCGATTCGTGGCTAGTTGAGTGACTGCTTACCAGGACGTTGCCAGAGAGGTTCCTCGTCTGCCCTTGTCCTACTTCGGGACACCTCGTCTAGGGCTCGTTGGATCTCAGTGCGTTGCAAGAATTGATTCACCAAGGTCGTCTGTTGTGCAAGGACGCTCGTCAACTCTATGACTTGTCAAGAAAAGTGTTGTTTGCCATTTGGATTAAAAGAGCTTGGAAGGAATGCATTTCCTTGAGCAGTGGAAGTGTGGTAGATTCCAGGCGCAAGATTTGAATTGGGGAACGTCAGATCAGCGGAGAAATATGGTGAAAATGCCTCCAGTTTGATCGTAGGTCTTGAAATTTGAAGTTGGGATGGTTGAACTAATCTTGGGCCGACTTGGGTTGCTTGGGAAACCACGGAAATATGCTGGGCCACGGGAGTGGGTTGCTCAGCGTGTGGCACACGCGGGTGTGAGGCTTGGGCTCGGCTTGGCAACATATCGGGTTTGAGCGGCACGGGTCGGCTCGGCTAGGGCTTGGGCCCTTGAAGGTTGAAGTGGCACAACTTGGGCCGTGGCCTTGGTGTCGTGGGTTTTTTTCGAAGGTGGCCACCGTGGTAGTTGCCACGATGGTGCCTCGTGGGGTTGGTGCCACTCCACTCACCGTTATGTTGAGCCTTGTAGATCTCCACGATCCTAATTCTTGAACTTTGGAATTTCCATTCGTCAAGGTTTCCAAATCTCTTGTCATTGTACTTTTCTTTTACTTTTTACCAAAGAATTTTTAGAAGTAAAAATTCTAAGAATAAGAATGTACGAAAAATCTACAAATGAAAAAGAAAACGAAAAACCTTGAATGCAAGAGTCTTCTACGAGCGTTTGATCAAGACTTTCAATGAAAGATTGTGGATGCAAATTTCTTCCTTCTTATTCTTGGACAAAATTGCACTTACAAAAAAAATAACACCTTAGATCAAGGCTAAGAGCCTCACGCGCCCACGATGAATTGTTGGGGGGACGGCTTTGGCCGAAGAACTTCCGATGCCAAAGTTAGAATTTTGAGAGAAAAATGTTTGGAGAATTTAGCAAGAGGATTCAACTTGGGTTTTTGGAGAAAATGGGATGATATTTATAGGGGTGTGGCCAGCCCCTTTGGAAGAGATGGGAACTGGCCACTTGGGTGGTTTTTTAGGTGTGATTCACAATTTATTAGCTAATTAATAAATTAATTGTGTAATAAATCAATTAATCAGCTAATTAATATAATTTGAAAGGAATGATTCGGGGGTTACCTTGTGGAAAAGATTTGATGAAGATGGATGAAATAGGTTTTGAATAATTACCTATTTTGAGCACTTTTGAGCTTGATTAAGTCATGATTGTTCACTGCTCGCGTGTAGGAGTTCGGGTATTCCTCGAGGGTAATTTTGTCCTTTTAATCCTAGAATCCACGTGTCGCTTTTATATTTTTCTCGATTATTTTTTGTTTCACATTATCCACGTGTTAAACTTATAAGAGATTAAACTATTCTTCGTATTACAATGAAAGTTTAACTTTCGTCAACAAGGGCTGAGAAAGCTAGGAGATAATCTTGGCTTGCTTTTTCAATAACAGAAAAAAAAAAGTGCAAGTTGATGTTAGGAGTGATAAATTATTGTACTTGGTGCAATTTTAAAAACATTATCATGTTTCCTTTGACTATTCTAACACTACCTAACTAACCCTACTGAATTATTGGAAACAGACATCTAATTGTCTTCAAGTCTTTGTGGAGGGGCCAACATCTAATTTTCTAATTCAAGGCTGTGACAAAAGTTAGAGGGATCGAAGTCACTGGGGCCATGTTTATACTGATAAATCTATGGTGGAATCACAAGACAAGAAGTCCATTTTTATCTCCCAGAAGAGAGGAAAAAGACGTTTAATTAATTTATCTACCGGAAGAACCTAATCGGGGTGATTAAGTATTCAAATCATCGATTGACTTTAGACTAATAAAAGGAATAATTAGAGTGTTTTAAGGTCGGTTGCCCGTAAATGTGTGGGAAGTTTCTGAATACTGATAGATGTAGGAAGTGTAACAACGGTCAAAATTTATTCACATACACATCAAAGTAACGGCAGCTGTTTAAAAAGAAAACAAAAATAATAGGTCATTTATGGTGTGCGATGAATTGAGAGGTAAATTCATCAATTCAATCGAGAACTTTATCATGTAAAAATTCAGAAGGTGCTGGTTGAGGTGTTGTACAAAGACTCTAAAAAATATTGGATTATAAAGTGGAAGCCATATTTTATGCTGTAAGAGTCTGGTAACATATATAATTCAACTGAATTTCTATGATAGTGGATTTTACATTGGAGCACTGTCCTTAGAGTTGGTTGGTCGAAGATTTGGAGGCAGATACATATTATTAGTACTTTAACTGTTTGATATGTAGCTAGGGTTGTGTTACTGGCCTGTTTTTCAGTGGGTTAAGCTTCTTTTGTACTTCAAAATGTTTCAATATTCATGACAATTCATGATTAATATATGAGTCTAATCTGTCCCAGGTTCTACAAGTTAACGAGAAACATAATTCTTAAGGGATATTTTGGATGCGATCTCTAATCCTTAACATTCTTTGACTAAAACCTTAATGATATTCAAAGTTTGATCAAAGTCCCTTGACTTTGTACACCTCATTATATTACAATTAATATTTATATTTTTATAGTTTTGACATTAATTGTTTAATATTTTATGAGATTTATAATCCTATAAATTTAAAATCCCTCATAATACTATCAGAAACGATTACGATAAAAAAATTCAAACATTTTAATTGAATAAATGGATAAAAACTATGTAAAAATAAGAAATAATAAATGGCAAAAGAATGTATCCATAGTGTTAAAAAAATTGGTACATTTCACATATAACAAAGTGGTACATTAATAAAAAAGAATGGGTACATTATAAATAAATTAGGGTACAGATAAAAGATTAAAAAATTATGAGTACAAATGAATTTTTAAAAAATATAGGCGCTAAAAGAAATTAATACTTGGGTACGAAATAAAACTAAAAAGAAAATACTACAAATTTAAAAAAAAATGTTGCAAATTAAAAATGGGCACAAACTAAAAATATAAATATATGATACAAAGTTTAGGCATAAAACATAAATATACCATATGTAATTTTTTTATCATTGATTAAATATACAATATCACGTGACAGTATACACATAGGTACAAACACAAAAAAAATTTTAAAAAATATGGGCACAAAAATAAACTAATATATGGGTATAAATTAAAAATGGAAAAAAAAATTGGTACAAACTAAAAATAAAAATATATGATAAAAAATTTAGCCATAAATATAAATATACTAATTGTAACATTTTTAACACTAAAGGAATATATTTAAAAATAAAAATATTTTATTATTCAAATAATTAATGATGTTATTAATATCCAAGGACCTTGATCAAAAATAAAAAATGAATAGGTTTTTAATCAATGGAGTAGTAAAATGAAGGATGTGAATCTAATTTCTCCAATTCTTAATTTCTTACCCAATTAACAATAAACACAATTATTAAACAAACCTTCGATTTAATAATGTCATACTCTCTGAAAATTGAAGATCAAATTTGTATTCTTGTACTCTGCAGTGACGGAATATAATTATACTTATGCCCACAATTAATAATTTAACCTAATTACTGTCATTTGTCGAAAAAAGAAATTGTCTTCAAGCTTATCCCGTGACGTGTAAAACTATGTTTAAAAATGGTGGGACACTTGTCGACCCACTTGACCCAGTCATCCTGTTTCCTGTATTACGATTTCCAAGCTTTTTCTATGTAGCTTGCTTGGCTTCCCAGAATTTGGCTCGCTGCATATAAGTTTATCATCTTTTCTTATCTTCGTGGGTTAAACTCTTATCACAAAATAATTTATTTGTATGATGCATATAAACGGTTAAACACGATTTTTATTCAGTGTTTTACTTTTTTGCAAAGTTAATTTTTAAATAAGGTAAAAAAGAAAATAAGCAGTACCAATTATTATGTTTATATGATCAAGACATATTAATCATAAGTGAAGGAACAAATATTAAATTAAGCGCTGTAAGTCTATATTGAAGTGAATCATATTTGGCCATTGTAAGCCAAAATTATGGGCAAATATGTGTAAATACAATTAAAAAAAAAAAAAAAGATAAGATTTAAGTAATGAATGAGTTAAGGAAATTATCCTTACAATCAAGAAATTAAAAGAATGAGAAACAGGTGAGTGAGACTGAGAGTGAGATGAAGTGAAAATAGCATCACTTAAAATTAAAGGAAAACTAATAAAAATGGCTTGAAAACTTTGAGTTTTAAAAATAAGGACAATAAAGGGTAAAGTGAATAGTATCAGGATTGATTTTT